CTGGATTTGAACGCGCCACCTCAGGTGTATGTGGCTGGCGCCTTAGCCACTTGAGCCATAGGCGCTGAGCCTGGAACACAGCGCTGCTTATTTGTTTACTATCTACAGCTGCTTTTGTGCCTTGAGCAGCAACCATACAGCCTATGAATGGAGAGGTTTCCTGTTTGGCTGCTTCCAAGAAAGGCTTGCAAGCCCCTGAGCTAGAGTACCCCTGTCTAGACCCTGCTCCCACTGTCTTGCCCTCTCTTCCCTACTGTTAGTGGGAGCGGGGCACCCCTCCTGAAGCTCCAGTGTGATAACAGTGTACACATGTCCCCCCAGGTGGAGCACCTGCAGCAGGAGACTGCCACTCTGAGAAAGCAGATGCAAAAAGTAAAGGAACAGTTTATTCAACAAAAGGTAAAAATGTGTTATTGTTTCTTTATTTGAAACAAGTGTATGCACAGTCCTCAGCAGTTTAATTTCTTCAATAGAATGAAATTGATCGAGGAGGTAACAACAGACTCCTTGCTTTTTTCATAGGTACTTCATTGATTATAAGATATCCTCCCTCCCTGTGTCAATCTCCAAATTCAGGCTACACTTCATAGCAAGGTAGAAGTCTCTGATCCCACATGTCAGGGTGGCAGCTGTCATTGCTGAATCTGTCATGACACTCTGTTATCGACACTTCAGAGAATTGTGTATGTTTTGTGTTGTTATTACTACACAGATTGTGTTGGCCATTTAAAACATCTTTGAAAAATGTATACCATGTTCCAGCATTGAAATACATCAAGGTATGACAAGAGAGGCAAAGTGTAGATTCTGTTAGTGAAGCCACTCTGTCTGGATGGAGGAAGGGTTCTGACCCCATACTTTCTTGCAACGCAGCAATCAAGTGCCTTGTAGGATCTGAGAGAAGGAAATTCCCAAAGTAGTGTTGTAGGTGGTGTTATGTTTTATTACTGAGATCCAAGCAAGGGGTTTACCTGTCAGAAGCCACATAGTGTAGCCATAGGGAGGAGGAGTTGCTGCACTGTTCAGGACAGATATCCAGGAGGCTGGTGGGACACAGACTTTGTATGGGCACCATGACATAACTTAGAGGATAAAATAATGTGTCTCAGTTGGTGGTGTCTTAGATTTGATGAAATATGTTATGTTTAGGTCAAAAAAGTTATGCCCTAGTTAAGTGGTAAATACCTTTATTTGAGGCATCCTGGCCCCTGGGAAGATGACTCCTGAGTACCTGAGGCTCTGTCTTATTGGCAGGTGATGGTGGAGGCCTACCGGCGGGATGCCACCTCTAGAGACCAGCTTGTCAGCGAGCTGAAAGCCACAAAGAAGGGGCTGGACGCAGAGGTGAAGGGGCTGAGGCAAGAGCTGCTGAAGCTGCATGGAGAGAAGAGAGCCACAGAGTTGGAGCACTCACGCCTGCAGAAGGAAGCATCGCAGGCCCAGCAGCAGGCGATGGATCTTGAAGGGCATCTCCAGTCAGTGCAGAAGGAGCGGGAGGAGATGGAGGCGCAGCTGCAGGTCTGCAGATGTCCTGCATTGGGTCAGACCAATGTGCTCAGGAACTCAGCATGTGCCACTGGGGCAGGGACCAGATGTGGTGGGCAGAAGCTTTATGAATAGTCAAAAACAAGGCCCTCTCGGAGCCAATGGCCTAGTGGGGCAGGCAGGCAAGTCCAGGCAGTAATGTAGATGAGGGGAGTAAACGAGGAGGGGGGTGTACAGGTGCCAGGGGCCTCCTTCCTGTGGTGGGGAGCATCCTTGCATCAGGAAGGGCACAGCAGTCTGAGCCACTGTGGCTGTAGTGCAGAGGTGGGACAGCAGGTACCATCACCCTGGAAGCCTAGGTTTTCCTTTGGATATGTGAAGCTGGTGAGGGTCTGGCCTGCCGAAGTTGGCAGTAGAAAGGTAAGAAGTTCAGGGAGTAGGGTGGAGGCTACAATCCAGGTCCCGATGTCCAGGCTGAGGGATGTTTCTGAGGTGAAAAGTAGGAGAACAGTGGGTGGGGGTGGGGGGTTGTTGGCAGTGTGTGAGACAAAGCACAGAGAAGACCAGGCTGAAGGCCATGTGGGAAGAGCCAGGCTGAAGCCTACAGGTGGATAGTGCTAAGTCAGAGTCAGGGTGTGGGGGCTGGTGGAGAGCCAGGAGGCCAAGTGGGGATAGGGCTGAACATCACATACTTGCCACCCACAGTTGCCTATTGCTACAGTCGAGCTGGTTCTGGGAAACTGCCCACTCAGGAGAGAAGCTGAGGCTTCAGGGCATGCGGTGTCAGGGCTCCTGGTAGCCCCCAGGGAGGAGGCTTTCTTTATCACCCACTGCCTCCCTGTCATGTCTTGGTTCTCCTACACGTTTGACCCCTATGGAGTGTCATTTCCAAAGGGGCAGGCATCCCTATTGGGAGTTTCTTCAAAACCCAAGTGCTCAAGGGCACTATGGACCCTGAGGAGTCAGGTGAGGAGTGGGCAGCTCTGTGTCTCCCCTCTGTGTGTCTCAGACTATCTTTCTTCCTGAAGTCTTTGCAGTTCGACAAGGGCCAGGTGGTTGCCCTCACAGAGGCGAATGAGGTGCTCAAGAAACAAATTGAAGAGCTGCAACAGGAGGCCAGGAAGTAAGTCTGCAGATGCTTGGGATGGTGCAGTGAGCCCCAGCCCATGTGAGTGCATAGGGATCTTACACACCCTCTCTGACAAGCAGGTTAGGAGTCCATGTAAAGACAGCCTGGGATGTTAGGTTCCAAATTTAAATTTCCAGCTAGGCATGGTCATGTGCATGAGAGGCTGAGATGGGAGGATCACCTGAAACAAGGAGTTGGAGGCTGTCATAGTGCTGGTGCACTGTAGCCTGGGCAGCAGAGTGACACCTTCTCTGAATTTAAAACAAAACAAAACAAAACAAATTTTTAAAAATAGATTTTCCAGGTGGCACCTGTGGCTCAGTGGATAGAGCATCGGCCCCATATACTGAGGGTGGAGGGTTTGAACCCGGCCCCAGCCAAACTGCAACAAAGAAATAGCCAGGTGTTCTGGTGGCTGCCTATAGTCCCAGCTACTCAGGAAGCTGAGGCAAGAGAATCGCCTAAGCCCAGGAGCTGGAGGTTGCTGTGAGCTGTGACGCAACAGCACTCTACTGAGGGTGATAAAGTAAGACTGTTTTTTTGTAATGGAAAGTTGCTTATTCTATAAAATAATCCCAGAGTTTACAGGTAGATTTGCCAAAGCCCCCTATAATCAGAACTCCCTTTTGTTTTTATTGTTCGACTTTTTGTGCCACACACTGCACTGTGCAACCCCCTCCCCACACACAGCTCCCTCAGCAGGGAGGACACTTTAATATTCATCAGCAGACTGTTATGCTCATGTAAACATGAACACACAGGCCTCACCTGCACACATGCCTTGTTTGCATGGGTACACATGGACCTGCCCATGCAGGTGGCCTGTGGGGCCTTTTTACTCCAGTGGCAAATCCTGCACTGCATTGCTTTGATTATCTGGTGATTTACTGTTGAATCTGAGTGTTTAATTTAATGCTGATATTCAAGAACATTAGAAATGCTTCTGTTAGAAAGAAGCAGACTTTTCACTGCCTTCACATGATCATTTAAAACTGCCCCAAGAATATGGGCAGGTCTGGAGGTGGGGGAGGTGGAAATGGCTAAAACTCATTAAGGGCTTGCGCCTGCCTGACTATGTGGGGATACTTGACATACCCTGTCCCTCTGCCTCATGCAGCCACAGCAGGACAGGCACACGCCTGGCTGCCAACCTGACCCATGAGCCCAATGGGGTGGAGTAGAGGTGGCCCCTACAAAGCCTGGCTGGAGCTCCTGCACCACCCCTCAAGGATGTACTCTTGGAATGCATGCCCCTGCCACTGGGTGTTGCGTCTCAGACACTGAGTCAACAGCAGCAGAGAATAATTGAACTTCTGTTGCTCTCCTTGGTGACACCCCAGGTCCATCACAGAACAGAAGCAGAAGATGAAACAACTTGGCTCAGACCTCACCAGTGCCCAGAAGGAGATGAAGACCAAGCACAAAGCCTATGAGAACGCTGTGAGCATCCTTAGCCGCCGCTTGCAGGAGGCCCTCACTGCCAAGGAGGCTGCTGATGCAGAGCTGAGCCAGCTCAGAGCCCAGGGCACCACCAGTGGTGGTAGCGACCTTGCTCTACATGTAGGTAAACGCTGCCTTGTCCCCTGCCAGAGTCATTAAGCCTCTCAGTGTAGCGAAAGGAGGTTTCACTAGCATTTCTCCTCTAAAACCCTGTAGAAGGGTTCAGGGTTGTTCAACCTATGAACATGGAGATTGACGACATTTTTGCTTATTTGTGGTGTCAGATACTGCAAAAAGTATGCATGGACTTTTTCTTTTGCTCATCAGCTTTTGTTAGTGTTTGTGTATTTACCAAGTGGCCCAAGATAACTCATTCTTCCTGAGTGTGGCAGAAAAGAAAAAAGGTTGGACAACACTGGTTAGACAACCCTGGTTAGACAAAAGGTACAGAACTCAAGGTTCAACATGTGTTTTTCTTTTCTTTTCTTTTCTTTTCTTTTCTTTTTTTTTTTGAGACAGAGTCTTACTTTGTTGCCTTTGGTAGAGTGCCATGGCATCGTAGCTCACAGCAACCTCGAACTCTTGGGCTCAAGAGATCCTCTTGTCTCAGTCTCCTGAATAGCTGGGTCTACAGGGGCCTGCAACAAGGCCTGGCTGTTTTTTTAGAGATGGGAGTCTTGCTCTTTCTCACACTGGTGTTGAACTCATGAGCTCAAGCAATCCACCTGCCTCAGCCTCCCAAAGTACTAGGATTATAGGAGCAAGCCACTGTGCCTAGCTAGGATGCATTTCTTTTTTTTTTTTTATTTGAGACAGAGTCTCACTATGTCACCCTTGGTAGAATGCTGTGGTGTCACAGCTCACAGCAATCTCAAACTCTTGGGCTTAAGTGATTCTCTTGCCTCAGCCTCCTGAGTAGGTTGGACTACAGGCACCTGTCACATGGCCCAGCTATTTTTTGGTTGCAGTTGTCATTGTTGTTTAGCACGCCCAGACTGGGCTGAAACCGGCCAACCTTGGTGTATGTGGCTGGCACCCTACTCACTGAGCTATGGGCATCAAGTCTAAGATGCATTTTCTTAAAATACTACTCCGAGTTATGTGTGGTGTCTCAAGCCTATAATCCTAGCACTCTGGGAGGCCAAGGTGGGTAGATCACTTGAGCTCCTGAGATACAGACCAGGTTGAGCAAGAGTGAGGCCTTGTCTCTACTAAAAATAGAAAAACTAACCAGTCATCATGGCTGGCACCTGTAGTCCCAGCTACTTGGGAGGCTGAGTCAAGAGGATTGCTTGAGCCTAGGAATTTGAGGTTTCTGTGAGCTGTGATGCCATGGCACTCTACCCAGAGCAACAGAGTGAGACTGTGTCAAAAAAGCAAATAACTTCTCAGTATTGATGTGTGCCAGGGACCTTTAGTGACCATTTGTATTATTCCATAAAACTCCCACAAACCACAGGCAGTCTGTGGAGGTTACCTTATTTTCACTGTGGGACTTCCTTGGCTCAGAAGAATTCAGCCCCTTGTTGAGAGGCAGGGGCGGGTGCACAGCTGGGCTTCCTCATGTCTCTAGGAGGTGTTGATGTACCTGAAGGAGATCAGTGAGCACGCACCTGCTGAGAGCTGGAGTATGAGTGTGAGGTCAGGTTCATTGTGCTGTAGAGTCTGGGAAGCTATGGGAGTAGGTGGCACCTGTAGTGGTCTAGCATATTAGAGAAGTGCCTTTGGCAGAGGGGATCTCTGTGCAGGGCTGTGAGAGGTGGGCTGGTTCTATAGAGTGTGGTTTTGGATTTTCTCTCACTTTTCCTAGTCAGTGTAAAATTATTCCTGAGTGAATTCATTCAGATTTTATTTATTATTCTCTAATTCGTGTTATTAACTGATATCTTAGTGTTTCTTACTTGAAGTTTATTTCTGTTTCCTGTCCACTTACAAATTTATGGGTATGAAATGACTAACTGTATCATGGGATTTTCTTGTCAAAGAAATCAAATGCTCCCTCTCACCTGGTTACTTTATAAAACATTGGGGGGATTTTCAACTGTGGTTTTCCTTTCGCTTTAAGATGTGTATTAGTTGCTGTTTTGCCTTTTGGACAGTGGTGGTTGGGGCTGAGTGCTCCATGGGCCTCATAGCAGCTGCAGGGCAGCAAGGCCTCAGGGCTGGTGTCAGGTTTATCAGGCCTCACCACTTGTAAGACTGTGACTGAGCACGTGGCTTAGTTGTGTCCTCGGTAAAATGAGGACAACTTGAGATAAATGATGGAACCTCCTCAAAAGATGATTAAGTTAGGGGACACTGGGAAAGGACTTGGAATGGGGCCTGACACCATCAAGGCAGAAGACGGTATGTGTGTGAGTGTACATGGGAGCACACATACGTGCATGTGGTACATGTGTGTGACTACATGTGCGAGCACATGATTTTCATGTAGTGCCTGTGTGTATGTGTGTGGGGTTGTGGAGTGTGTTGTATGTGGACACACATAAGCATGTGTGGTGTTTATTACACTATGCCAGGCACTACTTACTTGCCTCAGATGGTAATGTATAGCTTTTATCTGTAGGTCTGATTTTTTTGTGTATTTTATTACTACTGTGTTTGCCCTAATATGAATTTGCATGCCATTAGTACGTGCATGCTGTGGTTGGTTAACTGAGTGTGTGTTCAGACAGCTGCTGGTACCTCAGTGGTCAGGCCTATGTAGCTGTAGCTTCACACTATAGGCATTGTGGGAGGTAAGGAAAATGAGGGCCTGTGCCAATGACTAAACGAATGTCTTCTTGGCTCTTAGGAAAGGATCCAGGCCCTGGAGGTGGAGCTTCAGAGCGTCAGCCATAGCAAGGTGCTGCTGGAGAAGGAGCTGCAGGAGGTCATTGCAGCAACTGGCCAGGAACTGGAGGAGGCCCAGGAGAAGGTGCTAGAGCTAGAAGACGAGGTGAGGCCACCATGAATCTGGGCCCCAAGGAGCCACAGAGCCTTGCCATCTCCCCTTTTGTGTTGGAGCAGGCTCTGACCCAGCCTCTAGCAAGGAGAGCTATGTTCACAGCCTCTACAGTAGCGTGGTCGTTGGGATTCATCATGGACACTTCTCTCAGAATGCTCTGGTTCCAAATAAAAAACTCAGCTCAGATCTTGAAAAGAACTCTCTACGAGGCTAGGTGCAGTGGCTTATGTTTGTAATTCTAGCAGTCTGGGAGGATCACCTGAGCTCAGGAGTTGGAGACCAACCTGAGCAAAGCAAGGACCTGTCTCTACTAAAAATAGAAAAACTAGGCTCAGTGCCTATGGCTCAACCAGCTAAGGCGCCAGCCACATACACCTGAGCTGGCAGGTTCGAATCCAGCCTGGGCCCGCCAAACAACAGTGACAGCTGCAACCAAGAGATAGCCAGGCATTGTGGCAGGCGCCTGTAGTCCCAGCTACTTGGGAGGCAGAGGCAGGAAAATCACTGGAGAATTGGAGGCTGCTGTGAGCTGTGATGCCATGGCATTCTACCCAGGGTGACAGCTTAAGGCTGTCTCAAAAAAAAAGAAAAACTAGCCAGGTGTTAATGGCAGGCACCTGTAGTCCCAGCTACTTGGGAGGCTGAGATAAGAGGATGGCTTAAGCCTGAGAGTTTGAGGTTGCTATGAGCTGTGATGCTACAGCACTCAACGCCAGAGCAACAGAGTGAGACTCTATCTCCAAAAAAAAAAAGGAAAGAATTCCACAAAATTCCCAGGTTTAGAGACCGTTATTGCTTTGCCTTGGGCTTTGCTGATACCAAGAGCTCTCACCACCACCCCTGGCCTGCCTGTCCACCTGATCTGCAGCAGAGTTTCCAGGGCTCAGTCACCCTGGGGCTGCAAGTGCTGTCCAATCATCTCTGTCCTGTCTTCAGCTCTGTGCCTGCCCCAATGAGTACTTGACCAGGGCCAGGGCTAGATCCTTGGACACACTTCTCCAGAAGCATATGGTCCAGGAGAAGGTGGGGCTGTTGACCATGAAGAGGATGGCAAGGGTAAGGGGAGCCATGGCTGTCAGGCTATGAAGCAAGGGTGGTTTGTGCTTGAGTACTTTGTCTCCCAAAGTACTCATGTCACTTGGTAGTCAGCTGCTGCTCACTGTTTCTGGGTTGTAGCAGCTCCACATCCACAGCTGCTCTGTGTTTCAGCTCCAGGAATCCAGAGGCTTCAGGAGAAGGGTCAAGCACCTGGAAGAGTCCAACGAGAAGTTGGCTCTTGAACTAGAACATGAGAAGGGGAAACTTATGGGCCTTGGACAATCTAACGCGGCTCTGCGGGAGCACAACAGCATCTTAGAAAGAGCTCTGGCCAAGAGGGAGGCAGACCTGGTCCAGTTCAATCTGCAGGTACTCAGACTTATCACCAGAGGCTTGGGAGGCCAGATGGCACTCTAAATTCCTTCCTGGGTTTAATCATCTGTCAATTCCTCATAAGCACCTCAAGGAAAGTATACCCTGCCCACCTTAGTGATGAGCAGACAGACTCAGAGCCCATGTCCCCTCGCCTTCAAGTGCAAATACTGAGTACTTGGCTGTGTGTTTGTGGTGGAGCGCATGTACCGAGTTCCTCCCTTCCCTTGGAATGGGTGCACTTGTGGTGCAGGTGGGGATGACTTTCAGTTCTAGGCAGGGATGTCACCTGTAGGGAACCCTTATCTGAAGGCCTCAAAATGATTTCATACCACAGCTAGTCTTACCCAGTTCCACAGGCTCTGCAGCCTTTCCATGGGGGAAAATTGTCACAATGGCCAGATGGAGATGCCAGCCCTCAGAGAGTCTGAAGACTTCTATTTCCCAGCTCCCACAGCCCCATTCTTTGTGAACCTGGCTGCTTCACCCACCTGCATTGTTTGCCTAGCCTTGAAGGCACCTGAGATGATTTACATACATAGCTTGGTTCTAGCCAGATTCTTGAATATGACCCTGTGATTGTACTGCTACCTTATGTTTCTGGTTTGGGAATGTTGTTCTTAAGAGATGGAATTTTTTCTCCTTTTCTCTAACTTGTGCCCTAATCTGATGTGAGGTAACGTGCCCTATTCTGCTGTACCTCCTGCTTGGCACTGGTTGCTTTTTTCCAATTTCTTCAAGTGTTTGGAATTCGATGTCCCTCCTTATTTATTCTTTTGCAATTACATCTAGGTCCAGGCGGTTTTGCAGCGCAAAGAAAAGGAAGATCGCCAGATGAAGCAGCTTGTGCAGGTCTTGCAAGCCTCACTAGAGAAAGAAAAGGTGAAAGTCAGCAGCCTCAAGGAGCAGGTGTGTGCCACCTTTTGGCCATTTTATTTTGTTTTTGTTTTTTAAGTTGGAACCTCATAGAGCCTTCTGGAAGGTGTTTCAGTACCTAACATCTTAGATGAGTACCTTTCACACATGAGCTTCCCTTCCAGAAATTTACAGAATAGATGTATCTACACTGCCATTGTTGGTGAAGGGTGGGTTCCAGAGCTCTCTACACTAGTCTGCAGTTGACATGAGAAGAACTGAGATGTAGCCATGAGGGCCAGGGGCGGACACATGACGTGTTCATGTGTCTGTTTATGTTTTGCTGGTAAAAGGTGTTCTGTATATAGTGTTGCCTTATGAAAGCAAACATTAGCATACTGTTTAATCCCATTTATGTTAAACCAAGCAGGTGAAAAAGATAATTGTGTGATTCTTTTCTGTATAGGGGCCTCTTTTCATGGCTGGCTCCCTTCCATGCTTCAGGAGTTTATTTAGGTGCCAGGCAAGTTGTTCCCATGTGCCAATGCCCTGCCTGCCAGGATTTACTCCTCTATTAGAACATGAACTCCCTGGTTATATCCCCAGTGCCTGCTACAGAGCAGATACTCAGAACACATTTGCTGTGTGTGTGCACATGAGCTATGTGTGCTTGCATGGGGCGTGGTGTACGTATGCTCATGTGTGTATTTTTTTTAATCACGTGTATTTTGATGTTCATGTATACATAGAAAATTTCTAGAAGGAACATGAATGATTGTGATTATCTCTGGGAAAGTAGGAAAGGACACATCACTTTTCCTTTAAAGTCTGGTTGAATTACTTTGTAAGTTGTAATTTGAGAATTTAGAATTTTTAACCTAAGAATAAAGATTTTTTTAGTTCCTATGACCTGGCTTTTGCCATAGTTCTTGATTTCTTGGGGGAGACAGTAAAACTTCTTTAAAAAAAGAGTTCCAAGATGTGGCAAGAATTTTTTTTTTCTTGAGACAGTCTCACTATGTTGCCCTGGGTAGAGTGCTATGGCATCACAACTCACAGCAACCTCAAACTCTTGGGCTTAAGTGATTCTCTTGCCTCAGCCTCCTGAGTAGCTGGGACTACAGGCGCCTACCACAACACCTGCCTATTTTTTGGTTGTAGTTGTCATTGTTTGGCAGGTCCAGGCTGGGTTCAAACCCACCAGCTCCAGTGTATGTGGCTGGTGCCCTAGCTGCTGAGGTATAGGTGCTGAGCCGTGGCAAGAATATTTTATTTTGGCTCGGCACCTATAGCTCAACCAGCTAAGGTGCCAGCCACATACACCTAAGGTGGCGGGTTCGAATCCCCAGCCTGAACCCGCCAAAACAACGACGGCTACAACCAAAAAATAGCCGGGCGTTGTGGCGGGCGCCTGTGGTCCCAGCTACTTGGGAGGCAGAGGCAGGAGACTCGCTTGAGCCCAGGAGTTGGAGGTTGCTGTGAGCTGTAATGCCATGGCACTCTACCCAGGGGAACAGCTTGAGGCTCTGTCTCAAAAAAAAAAAAAAAAAAAGAATATTTTATTATTTTAGAGTCAGGGTCTTGTTCTATTGCCTAGGCTGGAGTACAGTGGTATGATCATGGTTTTGCAGCCTCGACCTCCTGGGCTCAATCAATCTTCCTACACTGGCCTCCTGAGTAGTTGGGACTACAGGTTTGAACCACTATACCTGGCTAAATTTTTTTATTATTTGCTGAGATGAGGTCTTGCTATGTTGTTAAGGCTGTTCTTAAATTCCTGGGCTAGGGTATCCTCCTGCCCTCCCAAAGTGCTTGGATTATGGGTGTGAGCCACCATGCTCAGCCTTAAACTTTGTTTTTATTTATTTATTTATTTATTTATTTTTTTGAGACAGAGCCTCAAGCTTTCCCCCTGGGTAGAGTGCTGTGGCATCACAGCTCACAGCAACCTCCAACTCCTGGGCTTAAGTGAGTCTACTGCCTCAGCCTCCCAAGTAGCTGGGAACACAGGCGCCCACCACAACGCCTGGCTATTTTTTGGTTGCAGCCGTCATTGTTGTTTGGAGGGCCCAGGCTGGATTCGAACCCGCCACCTTGGGTGTACATGGCTGGCGCCTTAGCCACTTGAACCACAGGTGCCGAGCCTTTGTTTTTATTTTATTTTATTTATTTATTGAGACAGTGTCTCACTTTGTTGCCCTCTGTAGAATGCCATGGCATCACAGGTCACAGTAACCTCAAACTCTTGGGCTCAAATGATTCTCTTACCTTAGCTTCCTAAGTAGCCGAGACTACAGGTACCTGCCACAATGCCTGGCTATTTTTGAAGACAGGGTCTCACTCTTGCTCCAGCTGGTCTCAAACCTGTGAGTTCAGGCAGTCCACCCGTCTCAGCCTCCCAGAATACTAGGATTACAGGCGTAAGCCACTGTGCCTGGCCTTAAACTTTGTTTGTAAAGAAAGTACTTGATAGTGCAGACACTAGACACTTAGACAAGAAAAGTGAACTATTAGAAAATGGAAATTTTTGGTTTTTGTTACACTCTGAGAATTTGCTTGTCTTCATGGAAACCTTGAAACAATCTATTGTTAATTATGAAAAGCTGTAAAATTCCAGAAAGTAAGCTGGTTACTATATTTTGCCATGTATAATGTGCACTTTTTTGCCCAAGTGTAAAAAATGTTAAACACAGATAGTACAACTCAGGAGCAGGGGAGCCCACTAGGTTTCCCAAGACTGCAGCACCCTCCAGCCTGAGCCCGTCAGGCACGTGAGGTTCTGGTTTGGGAAAATCTAGGATCTCTTGGGAGCAGGCAAGAGCAGCCTCTGCCCAGTGCCATGACTAGAGGAGGGGATGGTAGTGGGCTGGTGAGGTGGGCTCTATGAAGGGGCCAAGAGCCTCATGCAGCCCTGAAGACCCACATGGCTGCCCTTTGGCTGAGTGGCCTCAGAAGCTCTCACTCTGCCAGCCATGTGCGTGGCCATCTCAGCTGCAGCCTCCAACTTGACAGGGAGGGAAGGGCTGAACAGAGGGAGGGGGAAGCCTTCATACAACAGGCAGCTGTCAGAGGGTATTGTGATCTATACATTTACCAAGGAACCATAGCCCTCCCCAAATGTGTCTTTCCTAGCCAAGAGCTGGCCACTTTATTCCTTTCTCTTTTTTTCTGTTGCATTTTGGCCGGGGCTGAGTTCGAACCTGCCACCCTCAGTATATAGTGTTGGTGCCCTACTCACTGAGCCACGGGCGCTGCCCAGAGCTGGCCACTTTCTTGAGGGGCATTTTCCTAAAAGTTTGGGCCAAAAACTTGAATGCACATGATACACTAACATGCACGATACACAGCAAATACTGTACGTCACAAATGGGTAAGAATCAACAGCTTTATCATAGCTGGATGGTAGGTTGGAAAAGTAACTTCCTGTCAGAGTCCTTGAGCTGTAGATACATTTAACCAGAAACATGCAGATAAACTTAAAGAAGAATATACAAACTGTTTAGACCAAGAAATCTTGAATAAATTTGCTTATTCAACAGAGACTAGTAGCCACAGAGTGTACTTACTGTGTACTGTTGTCAGGTGCTATACTCTTTATGAAGAGCTTGATACTCAAGTACAGCTCTTGTCAAGAAGGGCTTCCCACCACAGGCATGTAAGCACCATATTGGGTGCAATGCACACAAATAATGTGGCTTCTTTTCTCCTAGGTGACTGCTGCCAGGGTAGAAGCTGGTCATAACCGCCGCCACTTCAAGGCAGCCACCTTGGAGCTAAGTGAGGTGAAGAATGAGTTGCAGGCTAAGGAGCACCTGGTGCAGAAACTGCAGGCTGAGGCTGACAGCCTCAGGTGAGTGCAGGCCTATGCAGAGCTGGTCCTGGGGCCTTGCCATTCTTAGGCACGGCATATCCTTGTGGGGTGCACAGTGGTTCAGCATATTCAGCATGGCGAGGGTGCCTCTTTTCTAGTAGATTGCAAAGAATTTTAGAGGCAAACCTCTGTCTCCAAAAGGCTATGCCCACTTCCTGCTTGTATCCATACCCCCAAATAGGAGAGCCACTGTGCACACTGAGCCCAGAGCCATGTCCTCACTCCTGCAGCATCGACTCAAACTTGAAGGCACCAGTCAGGGGTGCACGCATATAGATACTGGTGGCTCTGGAGACCAAGGAGCTGTTACGTGCTGTAGACTGAGAACTGTGTGAGCAGAGCAAGATGGCATGTCCCGAACCTACTAGAGCAGGCCCAGCACTGGGTGTGCAGCAAGGTCTTCCAGGATGGACACACTCACAGGCAGCATTTTTGGGGAAGGGGGTGGCGCAAGGACGAAGGTGGTAATTCCATCCTTTCTTGTTTTTTATGCTAGGTTTCAGGAGGGGAGACATTCCCAAGAAGTGGCGCAATTCCAAGTGGAGCTGGCTGAGGCCAGGGCGCAGCTGCAGCTCCTACAGAAGCAGCTGGATGAGCAGCTGAGCACACAGCCCCTGGGAAATCAAGAGGTGATGTGCCAGGTGGCCTCATGACCCCAGTTAACATGGCTCACAGAGCTGGACTCTGTGAGCAGCACTCAGGATAACTTCATTCCCTGTTTGCTTGGAGAGGAATATTTTTCTCCTTAATGTGGTATTAAAAAAATAAGGAGAAATACAGTTAGAGCAAATTTCCGGTGCAAGAAAGTCAGTTTAAAATTCTTTTGGTCATGTAACCTTTCCCCCTTTAGGTGGAAAATCTCAAATGGGAGGTGGATCAAAGAGAGAGAGAGATCCAGTCCTTGAAGCAGCAGCTGGACTTGACGGGACAGCAGGGCCACAAGGAGCTGGAAGGAACACAGCAGATGTTGCAGGTGCCTGTCCTGCAGGGCTCGCAGAGCACTGATGCCAAGGCACTGGTGCTGACTGCATGCTAGGCAGGGCACAAACATGGCATGAAGCCCTTGTCAGGTTGAATACTCTCACCACATGGTTTTGAAGATGTCACTGTTTCAGGAAGCTCCATGTAGTCACACAGCTGGAAGGAGCAGGGCTGAAACCCCAGCCAGCTCAGCTGAGTGGTATGAAATGTACTGGAAACGTGTCTCCCTTGGGCCAGGAAATAGGACGGTGCGTATGAAAAGGTTGCCAATTTGTGATCAGCTTCTCTGCAGAGCTTGATGTACAAAGTCTTGGCTACATGTGTAAACGATCCGGAAACGGCTTATAGGCAAGTGACTTGAGTCACAGTGCAAATTGATAATATGTGTTGAGTATCCCTCTTCCAAAAATATGAAATCCAAAACTTTGAGCATAGGTATGATGCTCAAAACACTTCTGGCCCCACACATTTTGGATAAGAGATACTCAACCTATATTATTTAGGAAGGGTTAGGCTTATTCTAGTAGCCAACCTTGGATTTATAATACTATTTTTTTTGAGACAGAGTCTTACTGTCACCAGTATAGAGTAGTGCCATGGTATCATCATAGCTCACAGCAACCTCAAACTTTGGGCTCAAGTGATCCTCTTGCCTCAGCCTCCCCAAGTAGCTGGGACTCTAGGTGTATGCCACCACACCCAGCTAGTTTTTCTGTTTTTAGTAGAAATGGGGTCTCTTGTTGAGGGTGGTCTTGAACTCCTAAGCTTAAGCAAGTCACCCACCTTGGCCTTCCAGAATGCTAGGATTACAGCATTCTGAGCCACTGCACCCAGCTTTCACCTTGGAATTTACAAGAGATTCTTGGGGTTTATTGGCAAAATACAGCCATGGGGATATTGCTGGTTTTCTTGTCAGGGTTGGAATATGGCGTAAGAATGTTGAGAATGAGATTGTGATTGGACCCTTCACAACCTAGACAAATGGAGAGGAAATTGTGCTGAGGTGGAAACATTATATACTAAATCCTCTAAAAAATTCAGTACTATATTTTTACTTAATTTACTTATTTATTTATTGAGACAGAGTCTCAAGCTGTCACCCTGGTTAGAGTGCTGTAGCATCACAGCTCACAGCAACCTCCAACTCTTAGGCTTAAGGAATTCTCTTGCCTCAGCCTCCCAAGTAGCTGGGACAACAGGCACCTGCCACGGCACCTGGCTATTTTTTGGTTATAGTTGTCATTGTTGTTTGGTGGGCCCCGCCTGGATTCGAACCCGTATGTGGCTGGTGCCCTGGCTGCTTGAGCTGCAGGCGCCAAACCCATTGCTATATTTTGAGTCCCTTAGAATCATGACATGCAAAATATGATCTTAGCAGAGTATTCTGACTTCACTTTATTCCTTAGAGTCTCAAGTCTGAGTTAGAGATGGCACAGGAAGATCTGGCCATGACCCAGAAGGATAAATTTATGCTTCAAGCCAAAGTGTCAGAACTGAAGAACAACATGAAGACTCTGCTTCAGCAGAACCAGCAGCTCAAGCTGGACCTCCGCCGTGGTGCAGCCAGGACGGTATGCAGGCTTACGTCCTTTTTGGATTGACTGATGTCTGTCATAGATTTGATTGGATAGGAGGTGTCTAGTTATTCAAACATTCAGACATAAGCAGATATATTTAACCAACCCTATGCAAATGACAATAGAATATCTGCTTCCACAATAGGCCAAGTCATTTTATTTTGGTGACTTTTCCAAAAGAATGTTTGCTGTTTTTCACAAATTCCTATAGCATTTGACTTTATGAGCCAAATGAGAGAATGGTTTATTTAGCATCATTTGCCTATCTGTGAAAAAGTTTTAAGTCAGGGGACTTAGATATATTGGAAAAGTTATGTAATTTCTTAGGGAAATTCAAAGTCAAGACCACAGACCTCTTCTGGAAAACTCCAGTATGAGGTTGCTAGTTTAGGATTGAGCTTCATCCTCCTGGGGATCCAGAACTTAGGTTGTCTGTGCTTTGTTTTGTGTTAGGAGTAAGGTTATTTATCCAGCCAGCATTTCTTGAACCCTGTGAGTTGATATAACAGCAAACAGTGTGGCCCATCTGCTTGCCCAGAGGCCCCATATTGGAGCCAGGGAGATCCATCTACTGCATATTCTGCTAGGGAGACTGACTAGAGGAGGGATGGCAGGAAGGCTAACGATGTGCTTTTGAAAGCAGAGAAAGGAGCTGAAAAGCGAGGCTAGCTCTTCCAGCCCTGCCACACCCATCAAGATCCCTGACTGCCCTGTTCCTGCCTCGCTGCTAGAGGAGCTGCTGCGACCCCCACCTGCTGTGAGCAAGGAACCCCTCAAGAACCTCAACACCTGTCTCCAGCAGCTCAAGTATGCTTACTCTGTGTTCCACTTCTTTAAAAGTTAATAGTGTATTTAATTTGGAGGGGTCTCTCCTGTTGCCAGCAGAGTTTGAGCAGTTTATATGAAGCGGGATTATTCACACACATGTGACCTCTGGCTTCATACTGTAAGGTGAAAACTGCCTGGAGTCAACCTGCCCTGATAAACCCCTAGAAGTTAAAAAGCAGGCACTGCGCACCCTTCAGCCTCCTAACTCAGGGTCTGCGGAAGAGGCTCGTGCTTCTTAGGTGTGGCCCTCCATTGGCAAATACCAGGAAGTGGAAGTTATGTGTGAAAGTGCCCTCAGAGAAAGCATTTTTTTTTTTTTTGAGACCAAGTCTCAGTCTTGTCATCTGGGGTAGAGGGCCAAGGTATCATTGTAGCTCCCAGCAACCTCAAAATTCTGGGGTTAAGCAGTCCGCTTGCCCCAGCCTCCTGAGTAGCTGGGACTACAGGCATGTGCCACCATGCCCAGCTAGTTCTTTCTATTTTTAATAAAGAGAAAATAAAATGTTTCATTCTCACTCAGGCTGGTCTCTTAACTCCTGAGCTCTAGCAATTCACCCATCTTGGCCTCTCAGAGTTTTAGGATTTACAGGCATGAGCCACCGTGCCTGGCTCAGACATAGCTTCTCCCCATAGCAACCCAGAGTCTTTGCCACATTCCCATGGGACCAGAACCCTGAGGCAAATGTCTTTTGGCCTTTGCACAGTATTAAGAAACCCAGAGTCTTTGCCACATTCCCATGGGACCAGAACCCTGAGGCAAATGTTTATTGGCCTCTGCACAGTATTGAGAAAAATGCCAAGAAAACCTCAAGCCCTGTGACCTCAGTTCTGCTGGTTTTTGAAGGTACTAGGGACCAACTCAAATGCTAGCAAGCAAAAAACTGCTGTCCAGCACAAGCTTGTCATGGATGAGTCTGTGGATAACTGGTTCTGTGTGGCTCTTGTGTGACCTGGGTCTTTGTCTTTTTTTGTTTCCCAGACAGGAGATGGACAGCCTGCAGCGCCAAATGGAGCAGCATACCATCACCGTGCATGAGTCCCTGTCCTCCTGGACCCAGGGAGAAGGCCACCTCTTAGACCTAGCCACTGCTGGCCCTACCCTTCTGGGGGACCATGCCAACCCCAGGGGTGACATGCAGAAACATAGTCAGAGCAGGGCTTCCAAAGAAGGACCAGGACAGTGATGGCTGCAGCCTCACCTCCAAGTGTGTACCTGTGTGAAGGAATATTCTTTTACCAATGTTATTTATTTGATTCTGTGTTCTATGTTTTTCTAAGAAATGAAATTTAAGTTTTGCTTTTGCCTTTAACAAGGAGTAAAATAACAGAATGAGAACCAAGGATTAGAGAAATAGTCATTTGAAGATCACAATTAACTTTTCCCATGAAACAACCAAATCTTAGAAACCTAGTTCAGATCTTAGTAAGGAAATTTTGATTGTCTCTGAAGGGTTATTTGCAGAAGCCAGCATCTTCTAAGTGACAGCAGCCAGTTACTGGTAGAAACTATAAGACAAAATCTGTGGCAGCAGCAGTGGACATGATGGACAGCCAGTGGGGTATAGCTCACATTCCTGCTCCATTCAGTAGAGCTTTACTTTCCTACAGAAACAAAATTTTATTTAAATTTTATTTGCACTTTTGGCTTTTTATTATTTTTTTCAATAACCATCTCACCATAGGATATGTATATAAATACTGAAATTTATAATCTAATCTTTAAGAAGTATATGCTCACATATTTAAGAATGATCTATTTGTCTTTTTATTGATTGCCATTTGAAAATTTGTTGTAAGGAAAAGATGTTCATGTAGGATTTAGCGATGTCAGTCAGAAAATTGTATTTTAAGAAATGTAATTATTTACCTTCTGAAACCAAATATTCTAATACAAAAAGGGTTCTTTGTTCCTTTGCTTTACTTTATTTCTAGAGGGTCTTTCCTTCCAGCCCAGTCTCTTCTTGGCAGACCACCAGGCAGGAGCCAGTCAACCTTCAATTAGGCCTGATGGCTACCAAGAGGCACAGGGACACTGAGGTCTCCACATGCAGACCTGACTTTTAGGGCATGCAAGGAGAGGCCAGAGTGGAAGAGAAGGCAGAGGAGGAAGGGAAAGTAGGCCAGAGGCTGCCTGCAGGGTTTTCTGTGGTTTCCACTTGAACCTAAACAATTTACAGTGTGTAAAACAGTAATAAGCCATTCTCCAAGGCTCATGCTTTTGTGCCCCAGTGAAATCTTCCCCAGGGCCTGTCCAAATGCTTTTATGGTGTCATCAAATCCTAGATCCTCTGTGGTTACAGTGGCATCACTGGAGCACAGAGGTGGTTTGCAGAAGAGCCAGGCCAGCAGCACCCCAGGGAAGGCGACTGGGCTCCCTGGAGGTGCCTTGGAGCAGGTGCCTCTTAAGTGTGTGAGATTCATGTTTCATTGACTGGTTTACTAAGGAAATCTGAAATAATATTTATTCCTATATGTTAGGGGGAGAGCAAGAAAGAGACACAGGGTTCACGTGGCCCTTCTGAGTGTCACTGGCCACTCCAGATGTGCTGTGTCTGCTCTATGGAGAAGCAGTTTGTGTTCTCTTGTAATATACTATTAGAAAGTTAATGGACAAGGTTAAGGTGACATTAACCACAGAGATGTTTAGGGTTTTAAAAATATTCAATAGCAAGTATTTGAACTTCTAAAATATGTATATCATTTGTACAGGGTTAATTTTGAAATAATACTTGAAAATTTCATTATAAACATCTCTAGCTTTTTAAGTTAGAAATTGTTTTTGACTAAATTGTTTTGTACCATTAGAAAAAGAAACACTAACATACATTCTTATTTATTTTGGCTGTATTATCCTGTCTTAATTTTAAAACAAAGAAATAACACCTCAGACTCATTCTGTGGCAGAGCTGCTTTCTCTTTGCATATAAAAGGTCTTCATGGGGGTGATGCTCATGGTGTAGTTTTTTTTCTCTTGGATAAACTAATTTTGAATATATTCATCAAGTGAAAGCAGATCTCTGTTCCTCAGGCCTTTTTCTCTGTTTAGCTGTCCTGCGTGTGCACACACCTGTGTACATGTATGCTTGTGTGTGTACACGTGCATGTATGTGTGCCTGAAAGTGTGTGTGTGCATGCCCTGTGAATCAGCACCTCTTGGTTTTCTGTGTCTCCGTGGGCCAGTTTGTCACTGGGGTCCAGAAGGGCCTACCTGTCTCTGTCCCCCACCGCAGTATGAGCCTCTGTTTGCTCCTGCATTTTTGCACATGGTCTGTGGCACTGAGGCTGAGGCCTCTTGTGTTCAAGCTAACACTGCCTTTGGGCTTCCTTAAGTAGTTACCTTAAAGAGGGAGTTGGATTTTTAAATTGCCCACTTTTTTGTCTCTAAGGGATTCTCCTGGTTCTCCTACCTCCTAGAGCTAGATTCTTCAGTGAATGAAGTTTGAATTGTTCTTGTGGAATATACTCTTGGAACCCAGTAGTCAAGTCTGGAGCATTACTTTATAAAACAGGGTCACCACTGCGTTGTGTCTGTGCGTGTGACCCATCCCCACACTGTGTCATGTCCCACTGCAGGGAATTTTGGCTTGGGCACTTCATGTCATTATCTGTTTTTTGGGTTTTTTTAAAAATCTGTTTTTCTTACGTTTCAAAAAAACTTATTGCAGCGTGATTTTCATTGATTTTTCCATGGGGTATGTCAGATGCCACGGACCTTATCAACTCATACACCTTGGTCTTACTCTTTGGAGTATGTTATGACACAATGTTTTTGATAGGATATGAATCTGAATCCCCTCAGCCTGGCTCCTGGGAATGGTACCCACCAAGATAGGCCTTGAAGGTGCACTGCCTCAGGAAGTTTGCAGTAAATTTATCCTCGGTTTGAAAACTTACTTTCCTTCATATGACAACACTGCAAAAGCTGAGGGCTTGCAGAGTCACCACAAGGTATATTCCTAATTCCAAGATGTTTTTTAACAGAAATTAAATGTCACGTGTAAAGATTCTATGAGTGGGGGGCAGCGCCTGTGGCTCAAAGGAGTAAGGCGCCGGCCCCATATGCCAGAGGGGCAGGTTCAAACCCAGCCCCGGCCAAAAAAAAAAAAAGATTCTATGAGTGAAAGGGACCAGCATACATTTCACGTTTTAAGAGTGAAAGAGAAATGGAGCCTTCCTTTCAAGGACTCCATTGTGTCACAAACAATGCTGTGATGTGAGACATTCTGAGTCTTCTAACAAGTGAATCTCCTCATGTGGTGGTCTCAGGTTATAATAGGATCCTTGAGGGTAATGTGAGAGGGTCTAGAAAATTCAATGGTTTTAAGTTATTCATTTCTATTAAAAATTTCCTCACAAAAGAATCCTCAAGTTGTGGCATTCAGGGGAAAGGTGTCACCATGTATGACAAATTGTAACTTTAAAAAGCATGTTAATTTTTTTTTTATAAACTTAAGTGTGCTTGGGAATTCCTTAAATTTTGTGCAATAAACTATTTTTTGTAAAGATTTTCATATTCCATTGGGGGGCTTCATTTTAATATTTATATTTTGTCATATTTGGGAATAACTTTTTAATGTCATGTTGTTACACACTCTGTTTTAAAAGACAATTTTACTGGCCTGCTAAAGTTTCAGAAAGGATGTGATAGCTAACTTCACTAGAATAGCAGCTACCCCTATTTCTACCCTTTATAACCCATTCTTCACTTGTTGCCCTTTGCAAGGAACATAAAAGGAGGGGGTTTTACAGGAAAAACAAAGCATGTTTCTCAATAAACCCTGGGAAAGGGTTGTTGGCCGGTCTTGAGGTTCTTAGTGTGGTTCCATAGTGCTTCCCAGCTCTCTCTCTGTGAGGACATCACGGACACAAAGGGATTGTAGCTCCCAGGTCTCTTATGTTCTAACTCCCCAGCGTAGTTTGGTTTTGATCAATAGAAATTAGCCAGGTGTAGAGTTTTTAGTTAATAGCATGGTTTAAAAACTTTAAAAAATACTAAAGCAGCTCGGCGCCCATAGCACAGTGGTTATGGTGCCAGTCACATACACCGAGGCTGGTAGGTTCAAATCCGGCCCAGCCAGGCTAAACAAAAATGACAACTGCAACAAAAAACAGCCAGGCATCATGGCAGGCGCCTATAGCCCCAGCTACTCGGGAGGCTGAGGCAAGAGAATCACTTAAGCCTAGGAGTTTGAGGTTGCTGTGATCTGTGATGTTACAGTATTCTACAGAGGGCAACACAGTAAGACTCTCAAAAAAACCACTACAGAAGAGTAGACAAGCGGTCACACCATTTAATCTCTGTGCTGGGATTTACACTTTTTTTCTATGTCCCCACTTCATTAGCTTCTATACCCAGGGGTCAGGTAATTACTGTAAGATCTAAGTGAAAATTCCCTGACCCCTTATTTTGTGGCCTTAACTTCCTGAAGGAGGAACACAGGAGATGTTAAAAGACTCCCCAAACCTTTCCTTGATGAGAAGGAATTTTTAGCAGTTACTTCTTAAATCAGAAGCATTTACTGGATTCTTCTGCTTGGCTTTCTGCATGCTTTCATTTGACAACAAATGTTGCAGATTCTTACAAAAAGTTTACTTGACAAGGGCCTTTTTTCCTGGAAACAATGGGCAATATTTAAACTGTGTTGCTGAGCTATCTCTGCCATTATTTGTCTGTTCCTGTTTGTGTGCAGGGTGTCATAAAGCACCATCCCCTAGCCCATAGCATGGCCTGGGCACAAGCCTATTTCCACCATTTGCTGGTCAATGACCTTCAGTGTCCACATTTCTAAGCTATCTCCAGCTGAAGTGAAGGCGGAAGACTGAGCGTGTGGATGGGAGCCTGAGACAGCCAAAGACTTTCATGCCTCACAGCACCCACGAGGGGGAACCTCCCTCTATGAAGGCAGCACTTCCCAGGCAGCATCTGGGGTAACAGCAAGCAGTCCCAGCACACCACCAGGGATGGATCTGTTCCCTCATCTGGTTCGAGAATCTAATGTTGGTGATTGGTAGGGTTTTTTACACATAATTTGAGTTTCACAATAAAATACGAGTAATCTATCAATGTGCATTTGCTGTTTAATGCCTTTCCAAAGTCCCTTGGTTCCTGGGTGTGGTCTTTAGCTAGAATGTTGAGCTGCCACTGGGAGTTTCTGTTATTCTCCAATGGAGTAGACAATGGGAGGTGACAGTCTCTTTCACGGCTCACCATTTTCCAGTCAGTGCTCTCTGAGCTGCTCAGGTTTTTGACTCAAGACGACAAAATTCCCATGATGCAGGACTCTGCCACCCCTTTAAGGCATCTTTCTCTCTCTCTCTGTATATATATAAAATTTATAGTTTAAGCTATAAAAGTACTAATACAACTCAATGCTTATTAAGCCCTTACTATATAGAGGCTCTGTAGCAAGGATACACATACCCTAACTCTAATCTCACCTCTAAGGGACCATTGTTCCCATTTTACCACTGAGAAAACAGCAGCACAGGGAAATTTAGTAATTTAAGCCAAGTCCCCAGGAGTCAGTGGCAGACAAGATACCAGCCCAGGTGGTCTGACTCAGACCTGTGCTCTCACACAATGGCACATACTCATAAAAAGGGAAGGGTTGAGGACAGATCTGTCCTCACAGTACTGAGTAATTAGAAACAATAGTACAGTTTCTTTCTACAAAGGAACTCTTTATTCTTTTACATGTAGACATAATTTATAGTAAAAAAAAAAAAAATACAGATTTTAAGTATGCAGTTTGATGCATTATTTTCCATTTATGAATCTCATAGCCACAGAGTGAATTTTGATGAGTTTGATGAGTTTTGACAAATGTGTGCTTTTTTAATTATCAACTTAAACAAGATATAGGGAAGGAGATTCCCTCTTGCCTCTTTCCAGCTAACTATCCCCAGTAAGAGGCAACTGCTGTTCTGATTTCTATCACAACGAGCCTTGCCTATTCCCTAACACTCATATAAATAGAATTCTACAATGTGGCTTCTGCATTTGGCTTCTTTTGCGTAGTACTTTTGAGATTCACCCTTGTTGCTGAAGAGTGTATAACCACATGATAATGTAGCATTTTACAACAATTTCACAACTTATCCACTCACCTGCTGATGTGCTTTGGGGCTACAATACTATGCATCATGCTGCTATGAACATCTGTGAACCAATCTCTGTGGACTTCTGTTTTCATTCTTCTTGGTAAATACGCAGGATTGTATTACCTAGCCATCAGGAAGCTGTTTTAGTTTAGTCAGGCTGCTCTAATAAAATAGCATAAACTCCGCAGCTTGTAAACAGATGAAGACTAGGGGAGACCAATATCAGGCACCTGCTGATTCTAGGGCTGATAAAGCCCAGCTTCTAGTTCATAGATGGTGCCTTCTTGCTTTGTCTTTACATGATACAAGAGGCAAAGGGCTTCTCCCTGGCCTCTTTTAAAAGGAGACTAATCGTATTCTTAAAACCTCTGCCTAGTCACTTTCCACAAACAATGTAAGAGAATTCCAAAATTGTTCTACATTCTCACCACAATTTGATATTGTCAATCATTTAATTTTAGCCACTCTGGCAAAGCAGTATTTCATTGAGGTTTTAATTTTCAACCCATCTCCCCTAGGTAGGGAATCGTACAATACGGAGAATGACAAGACACCTGCTCGACTCCTCCAGGAAGCCTTACTTGGCCTCAGACACCGGGTGGTAATAAAGTAAAAATTAACTGGGACCAAGAATACAAATCCGACCGGCCAGGCAGAGAAAAACTCAGGTGCAAAGTTAACAGGAAACAATCATCCAAGCACATGGCGAAGCCAGTCTGCAGCTTTCTTACCGGTGAGAAACGCTCTGGAGTCGTAAGTTTACAAACTCTGCCGTTGGCAAGGACGTCACTGACGACGAAACGCCCAATTGTCCCGGGGGCCGAGTAGTGAGCGACTCGGGGAGAGTGCCTACAGACCGGCCAGCGCCTCCGCAGCCCCACACAGGCCTCCCCGGCTCGTCCACGCCCTGGGCGACCACGCTTCCACCATCTGCGGCCGGCGAGCGGGCGACGCCAAGCAGATGCTGTTCCAGCCGTTCCCCAGCCGCCCCCGCCGGCCAGCGATCCTGAGCGCCGCGGCGCCGCTCCCGTCTCAGGACCCCAGCGCCCCGCCTGCCCGTGCTGCTGCCTGACGGCGCACTCGCCCGCCTTGTGCCACCTGGAGCTGGAGCCGCGACCGCGCTCCCTCGGCAAGCCTCTGAGAGCTGAGGCGGACACCCGTGTCCACCCGTGCAGCCTCCGTCCCGAACCAGCAGCCCCCGCGTACGGCGCTGTCAGGCAGTGGCGCGGGAAGCCCGCACGGAGTGAGGTGACGAAGGACCCTGGAGTTATCGGCGGCTGCGGCGGCCCGGGCGGCGGCGATGCTGTGGCCGCGGCTTGCGGCGGCCGAATGGGCAGCGCTGGCCTGGGAGCTGCTTGGGGCCTCAGTTCTGCTGATCGCCGTGCGCTGGCTGGTGCGGCGACTGGAGAAGCGGCCGCGGGGCCTGGGCAGGAGCCCAACCCCCGCCCCGCCTCCCCCAGCGGCCTCGGGCCCGGACTCAGGTAAGGCAAGTCGGCCTGTGGGCCCTCCGCTCTCTCCCCGCCCAGGGTACGCGGTCCCCACCTCTCCCCTGGCCCTGGGTCCCCAAATCCGTCCCGCCCCCTTCTAGTTCTGAGTCTCTGGCCCGCTCCCCTAGGGCTCCCGGCTCGGAGAAGAGCAGTTAGACTGGGCCGGTTGACGTCGGGGTGCTGGGGGAACAGGAATCCGCAAGGCAGTAACCCAAGGGGCAAATGAGCGGAAATTTTATTTTGCGTGACAGGAAGCCTTTGTGGTGTCCGGAGGAAGAGTGACATGGTCCAGGGCTCGCTTTGGAAAGTTCATTCTGGCTGCTGTAATGGAAATTGTAGAGGGATATCTGGGCACCCCTGAGGCTGGAGCAGGAATGAGCCGTGAAGATTATTTCTAGGATGAGAGTATGCGATGGGGTAGGGAATGGCGTCTGCGAAGGCTACAAAGTGAGAGTGGTGTTGAAGGGGCGGTCCCCAGACAAGGAGAGGAGGCAGAGGTGGAGACAGCAAAGCTTTGGAATAGATTCTTGCTGTAATGGAAACAAAGCTTGGGGAACGATGGCTTAAATCAGGGTAGCAGTAATAAGTTGCTGAATTCTGGTTTTGTTTTGAATGTGAAGTTATTGGTAATTGGATATAAGAACAAAGAACATCCAAGTACTGCGTATAACTCCAGGTGTAGGGAAGGAAATGGAAGGATGTGGTTATTATCTATTGCTTTGGGGTAGACTGTCAGGTATGGGTGAGGCAGATCAGGAGTTAGGTTTTGGTAATTTTAAATGTTCAAGTTTAAACTTGTGACATTGTGAAATATTTCCAGTATTTGGTTTTGGTTTTCATCCTGGTTACCTGACATACAACTCCTAACATCCCTGAAATTGACAAAGCAATGTCTTTGTGTATGCTAATGAGGTGACTGATGGCTGGCAGCTCCTAGGTAGCTTCAGGTTGGTTGCTGGTCATAGGAAAGTTCAGAGACTTTAAGCCCTATCCCCAATCTCCAGGCAAGGCAGAGGGGCAGAAAACGTAAGTTGATCACCAATGGGGAATGGTTTAATCAATCTTGCTTACATAATGAAGCTTCTGTAAAAGCCCCAAAGGACTGGGTTCGCTTAGTTTCTAGATATCATGTTGAGTTGAGGGTGGTAGGCCCAGAGTTGACATGGAAGCTGCACTTCCCTTCCCACTTTTTTACCATGCGCACCTCTTCATCTCTATTCTTTGTAATCATTTGTAATATGCCAGTAAATGTAAATAAAGCATTTTCTTGATTTGTCTGAGCTGCTCTGGTGAATTAATGAAACCCAAGGAGGGAGTTGTGGGAATCCTGATTTACCCTGGTTGGTCAGAAGCACAAGCAAAACAACCTGAGGCATTGGTAGTGGGGGACTCAACTGAGCCCTTAACCTGTTGTCTGACGGTTACTCCAGGTAGATATTATTAGACTAGAACTGAATTAGAGGACATCTAGTTGAATTACTTGAGGGATTGAGGGAGGAACCCCACACATCTGGCTTCTGAAGCATTGTGTGAGAATATAGTGAGAGAAACTGCATTCGTTTGTTTTTCTTTATGTCATACTGTTACAGACCCTGAGGAACAGTACTTTGTATTGTTTGAGTGGGCTTTATGCATCAGATTTTGTAAGTTCATATCCATCACTTGCTTTCTTCTTGGTGACAGGTAAGCTGTAGATAACAAAAACTGGGAGGATGTCCAAGTAACTGCCCTCCAGATACAGTTTTGGGCAGGAACCCCTGCTGTTCACTCAAGAACTACTTAAGAATCAAAAACAGTTTTGTTTTGTTTTTATTTGTTTGTTTTTTGTTGCAATTTAGGTGGAGCCAGGTTTGGCCACACTCGGTATATGGGGCTGGTGCCCTACCCACTGAACCACAGGTGCCGCCCTCAAAATCAGTTATAAAAGAGAAAAATTTACATTTTCTTTCTATCTGTTTAGCTCTTTTTTGATATTGTGAAAACAGTCCTCATAGGGTGCCTGTCAGCAAGTCAGGTAGGGAGAGGCAGAGAGCAGAGAGCAAACTCAGATATATATATATATATATACATATATATATATATATGTAAGATTGACTTTAGCCATTACTGGAAAACTCAGTTAATAATTTTTCTTTTCTTTTTTTTTTTTTTTTTTTTTTTTTTTTTTTTTTTTGGCCAGGGCTGGGTTTGAATCCAACACCTCTGGCATATGAGGCCGGGGCTTTGAGCCATAGGCGCCGCCCCAATAATTTTTCTTGTTATTTCACTTCTAGGTGATAACTAAATAACTTCACTGTCCTTTCACCTAGCAAGATTTTTTTGAGAGTTGAATAAGTACAGTATTTGGCACATATTAGGCATTAATGAGTATAGTCTGTCATAGTAATTACCAGCATCATTGAAGTAGGGCTGTGGAGGATGTTAGGTGTGTGTCTGGTATTCTGAGAAAAGATCTGGAGATAAAACAAACAGATGTTGGATAAAGCTGAGTCTGGAGGCCCTGGTGTAGGGTCCTGTGGGCAGGCTTTTAGGGTTGGTGTTTTTCTTGGTTTTGTTTTGGAGGCTCTGATTTGACTGAGAATCCTCTTCCCCACCCTCCCAGCAGTTTGCTTTCATCCGCAGCCCCAGGCTTTAGGTAGGACAGTGGCTGCTGATGAGGTTTTCTGTGCCCTCCTTCTTTAGGAGTCATGCTCCATTTGCTTTCACATCTGATTTTTTCCTGGAAGATAAAAGTTCCTCAAGTACTTTGATAGGAATATGAAATTTTTTGAGCAGAAAACAAAACTGATGACCCTACTTTAGAATCTCAGGGATAAAGGGGTCCCTAGGGAGAATTTATTTCTCATGTCCTGGTTTTATTTTATTTTATTTTATTTTTGCAGTTTTTTTGGCCAGGGCTGGGTTTGAACCTACCACCTCCGGTATATGGGGCCGGCACCCTACTCCTTTGAGCCACAGGTGCCGCCCAATGTCCTGGTTTTACAGCTGAGGAAACAGGCCCCAGGAAGGTCATTGTCCCACTGAGATCACACAAGATGGGGTGTAGGTCTGTTGCTACTGGGCCCAGTGCACCTTTCATCCTGCTGAGTTTTTACCTTCTCTCATCCCCATAAGAAAGTTCTAGGTGGCACCTTTAATAAATACCATGCTGATTATCCATTTACACTGTCAACACTGTGCCACAAGACTCAACAGGACACCAAGACTAAAAATTACCCAAACACTAAAACTAAATAAATAATGTACAGGGCAGCGCCTGTGGCTCAAAGGAGTAGGGTGCTGGCCCCATATGCCAGAAGTGGCAGGTTCAAAACCAGCACTGGCCAAAAACTACAAATAAATAAATAAATAAATAGACAATGCACGTGGCTTTTGTGGCATGGAGTTAAGACAATAGAGTTTGGAATGTTTTTTCCATTGAGGATTTATTTTTAGGCTTGGTCCCTGTGGCTCAAGCTGCTAAGGCACCAGCCACATACACCTGAGCTGGCAGGTTCGAATCTAGCCCAGGCCCACCAAACAACAGTGATGATGGTTGCAACCAAAAAATAGCTGGGTGTTGTGGCAGGTGCCTGTAGTCCCAGCTACTTGAGAGGCGGAGGCAGAAGAGTCACTTGAGTCCAGGAGTCGGAGGTTGCTGTGAGCTGTGATGCAACAGCACTCTACCCAGGGTAACAGCTTGACACTCTGTCTCAAAAAAAAAAAAAAAAAAAAAGAATATTATAGATATGGAAGAATAAAACTTCGGAAACTTACCATACAGAATTTATAGACCTCCCCCAAAATGGAGAAACACTGGATTGAAATGAAACTTCGAAACTAGTTTTTTTTTAACCTTTTTAAAATACATAAGGATATGCTTATAGCCATGGAATTAAATTTTTTTTCTTTTTTTGTCATGGGCCTAGGTGAAATGACAATGGATGCCATCTTGGCTTGGCTGAAACTCCTAAATCCAGATGATCTTAGAGAAGAAATTGTCAAAGCTGGACTGAAATGTGGACCCATTACATCCACCACCCGGTTCATTTTTGAGAAAAAATTGGCTCAGGCTTTACTAGAGCAAGGAAGAAGACTGCCTTCCTTTCCTCCCCTCCACAAGGAGGGAGGTGCCACAGCTCTCAGCCAAGACAAACAAAGGATTTTGAAGTCTGCTGTGGAGAATGCAATTGACCAGCCCAGTTTTTCTGAAGACAGAGATTTTGGTTATAGTGTAGGCCTGAATCCTCCAGAGGAAGATGCTGTGACATCTCACTCCTGCTCAGTACCCTTGAGCGCTGCGGCTGGCATTGACACCCACAGAGCTGGAGTGACTGCCTCTAAGGAGCCTCTTCTGTACTATGGGGTGTGCCCTGTGTATGAGGATATCCCAGCAAGAAACGGTAATGTGACCACTGTGCAGTCTTGCCTTAAATAGATGGTACCTGTTGGGGGTGGTTAAAAATTGAATACTGGGCTTGGTGCCTATAGCTTAAGCAGCTAGGGCTCCAGCCACATACACCAGAGCTGGCGGGTTCAAATCCAGCCCAAGCCCGCCAAACAGTGATGACAACTACAACCAAAAAAAAAAAAAAATGCCAGACATTGTGGAGGGTGCCTGTAGTCCCAGCTACTTGGGAGGTTGAGGCAGGAGAATCGCTTAAGTCCAATAGATGGAGGTTGCTGTGAACTGTGATGCCACGGCACTCTACCCAGAGCGACAGCTTGAGGCTCTGTCTCAAAAAAAAAAAAAATGAATACTGTACATAAAAATATTTATTCACTAGTCTCAGTGCCTGTAGCTCAGTGGTTAGGGTGATAGCCATCTACACCCGGGCTAGTGGATTCAAACCTGGCCCAGGCCTGCTAAACAACAGTGACAACTATAACAAAAAAATAGTTGGGCAGTGGCGAGCACCTATAGTCCCAGCTACTTGGGAGGCTGAGGCAAGAGAATTGCTTAAGCCCAAGAGTTTGAGGTTGCTATGAGTTGTGGCAGCATAGCACTCCACTGAGAGCGACATAGTGAGACTCTTAACACACACACACACACACACACACAAAAATATATGTATGTATATTCACCATAATCTTATCACCCAAAATTAACTATTATCAACACTTTTGGGGGGAAGAGATAGAGTCTCAAGCTGTCACCCTGAGTAGAGTGCTATGGCATCACAGCTCACAGCAACCTCAAACTCTTGGGCTTAAGCGATTCTCTTGCCTCCACCTCCCAACTAGCTGGGAATACAGGGACCCACCACAATTCTTGGCTATTTTTGTTGTTGTTGTAGTTGTCATTGTTGTTTTAGCAGGCTGGGGCTGGGTTTGAACCCGCCAGCTTTGGTGTATGTGTTCAGTGCCATAACCACTGTGCAACAGGTGCCACCTGTTAACATTTTTATATAGAATTTTTCTGAATTTTTTGTAAATCTATATAAACATTTTTAAAAATTGGCTCAGTGCCCATAGCACAGTGGTTACAGTGCCAGCCACATACAGGGTGGTGGGTTCAAACCTGGCCCAGGCCAGCTAAATAACAATGACAATGGCAATAAAAAATAATCAGGTGTTGTGGCAGACACCTATATATAATCCCAGATACTTAGGAGGCTGAGGCAAGAGAATTAAATCCAAGAGTTTGAGGTTGCTGTGAGCTGTGACCTTACAGCACTCTATAGAGGGCAACATAGTGAGACTCTGTCTCAAAAAAAAAATTTTCTTGAAAATTGTTAGGAAAATACACTTGCCTTACAAATATTGATTTTAGGCTTGGCACCCGTAGTGTTTCGGGTGCCAGCCACATACACTGAGGCTGGCAGGTTTGAACCCAGCCTGGGCCTACTAAACAACAGTGACAGCTGCAACAACAACAACTTAAAATAGACTGGTGTTGTGGTGGGCCCATGTAGTCCCAGCTACTTGGGAGGCTGAGGTAAGAGAATCGCTTAAGCCCAAGAGTTTTGAGGTTGCTATGTGCTGTGATGCCATGGCACTCCATCAAGGGTGACGTAGTGAAACTCCATCTCAAAAAAACATATGTATATGTTGATTTTAGGGCTAGGTTCCATTTTTTTAGTGCTTTGTTCTGTTGATTAATCATTTCCTCCTCTTAAAAATTCATTATAACCTGGACACCTTTTATATTAATGATTGCAAATGGCCAACAAATACATAAATAATTTTCAACATCAAAGAATTATAGGCTCGGCGCCTATGGCTCAAGCGGCTAAGGCGCCAGCCACATACACCTAAGGTGGCGGGTTTGAATCCCCAGCCCGGGCCCGCCAAACAACAATGATGGCTGCAACCAAAAAATGGCCAGGCGTTGTGGCGGGTGCCTGTAGTCCCAGCTACTTGGGAGGCTGAGGCAGGAGACTTGCTTGAGCCCAGGAGTTGGAGGTTGCTGTGAGCTGTGATGCCATGGCACTCTACCCAGGGGGATAGCTTGAGGCTCCGTCTCAAAAAAAAAAAAAAAAAAAGAATTGTAAAAGAAATAAATAGTAATGGAAAAATAATGAGAACTGGGTGTTTTTTGTTTTGTTTTGTTTTTTTGAGACAGAGCCTCAAGCTGTCCCCCTGGGTAGAGTGCCATGGATCACAGCTCACAGCAACCTCCAACTCCTGGGCTCAAGTGAGTCTCCTGCCTCAGCCTCCCAAGTAGCTGGGACTACAGGCCTCCGCCACAACGCCTGGCCATTTTTTTGGTTGTAGCCATCGTTGTTGTTTGGCGGACCCAGGCTGGGGATTCGAACCCCCCACCTTAGGTGTATGTGGCTGGCGCCTTAGCCGCTTGAGCCACAGGCACTGAGCTGAGCCGAGAACTGGGTGTTGATTAGAATATTAGAAATTAGACACTATCATTTTGTTACTATTGTGATACCATTTGTGGTGATGACCAAGGAGATTGGAAGTTGATCAGTTTTGCACCGTGAGTAGAATGGCATATTAGTTAACTGTCAGATCTTTTAAAAGAACATTAATGACACTGTGAAATGTTCATGATGCAATTTCTGTTTATTATTGTTGATCTTTATTATGAAAGTTGCTTATGAAAAGTTTAATTAGAACATATTATTACATACCGTGTGGTATCTAAAGTAAAAGTGAAATTTCTCATACGTACCCAGATCTTATTCTCTAGATGTAACCATTTAACTTCCTTCATGTATAATACTTGATCTGGCTATTTTTTATTTATACATATAAATGTTGCTTTTATATTTAATATGTGTTTTTATATATAATATGCATGTTTTTTTAATTTAATATAATTATAAATATATATAACTGCACTTTGTTTTTATTTTTATAAAAATGGTAAGTAGAAGTACAGGGCCAAAAGGTAAGCATTTCTTAACACCTTTCAAAGGTATCACCTTCCAAGACCTATTTTTATCTACAAAGGCAAAAGAGATTATTATGTTTCTGTTCTGCAAACCATACTGTATGTTGTTTAAACTTTTCATTTGCTTTTGAGTAAGGGAACTTGCTGTCTCATTTTAGGTATATGCTTATGGTCTGTCTTTGATGAATGTTTCGTCAATACATTGGCCTTTTTTTTGAGATAGTCTCACTATGTTGTCCTCAGTAGAATGCTGTAGCTTCACAGCTCACAGCAACTTCCAACTATTGGACTTAAGTGATTTCTCTTGCCTCAGCCTCCCAAGTAGCTGGGACTACAGGCACCCGCCAGAATGCCCAACTATTTTTTTGTTGCAGTTTGGCAGGGGCTGGGCTTGAACCCACCACCCTTGGTACATGGAGCCGGCTTCCCACCTACTGAGCCACAGGCACTGCCCGACATTGGCCAATTTTATCAAACAGTGGACATCACCTATTCTTCTGTTATACTGGTTATCATTATTTTCTCCAAATCCATCATTTGTATTTTATGTATTTATGATAGTCCTTTTTTTTTCTACTCTGTTGCCCTGGGTAGAGTGCTGTGGCATCACAGCTCACAGCAACCTTAAACTCTTGGGTTTGAGCAGTCCACTTGCCTCAGCCTCCCAGGTACATGGGACAATAGGCATGCACCACCATGCCCAGTTAATTTTTCTATTTTTAGTAGAGATGGGGTCTCTAGCTCTTGTTCAAGCTGATCTCAAACTCCTGAGCTCAAGTGATCCATCCATCTTGGTCTCCCAGAGTGCTAGGATTACATGTGTGAGCCACTGTGCTGACCTAAAATTATTTTTATTTAGATTCTTTTTTTTTTCTTAAGAGACAAGGTCTCATCATTTCTCAGCCTTTTGGCTAAGATCAAGTGTAGTATCTATTGTTGTGAGTATAATATCTGATGCGTCCTCTATCTGAGGACAATATATTAAATGGGTTTTTGGAGCAGGGAGTTGGAATAGGAGCTTGCTCCATCCACTCCATGCATTGCAGTACTTCCAGGAACAGTACACCCCCTCTGGGAGTGAGAGAACCGTTTTTTGGTTCTCTCTCAAAAAAAAGAGAGAGAGAGAGAGACAAGGTCTCACTCTGTCGCCTAGGCCGCCCTGCAGTGCCATCATCACAGCTCACTGCAGCCTCAAATTCCTGTGCTCAAGTGATCTTGCTTTCGCTTCAAGTAGCTGGGACTACAGGTGTGAATCACCATGCCTGGCTAATTTTTTTATTTTTTGTAGAGACAAAGTCTTGCCCAAGGTGATCTCGAATTCTTGGGCTCAAGAGATTTTCCTGCCTCAGCCTCCCAGAATGCTCGGATTACAGATGTGAGCCATTATGCCCAGCCTTTATTTAGATTTTTAATAAAGATCCATATCAAATTTATGTTTTAGTAGGGTATTTTGGGACATTAAATTGCTTATATATATGTATCATATTATTCAGATATTTGATCAAGCTTATTAATTGCTTTTTGGGGATTTTTTTGGCTAGCCAAGGCTCCTTTTCTTCAAGATTGAAAATCTGAACTGTGAATATGAGAATAAAACCAGGCACTGGATAGCTGCTGTTTCTCTAGATTATTGAACCCAGGGTATGAGGAGTGATAGTGTTCTTAGTCATTCTTCTCTGACTTTCCTTTGTTGCTTTTCCCAACCAGAAAGGATCCATGTGTATGAAAATAAAAAGGAAGCATTGCAAGCTGTTAAAATGATCAAAGGGTCCCGATTTAAAGCTTTTTCAACCAGAGAAGATGCTGAGAAATTTGCTAGAGGAATTTGTGATTATTTCCCTTCTCCAAGCAAAACCTCACTACCTCCTTCTCCTGTGAGAACGGCACCAGTCTTTAGCAATGGTGGGTTGAAAGGTAAATTATATAGCAGTTCATATCTTGCTGTCACTGTCAGATTTACCCCACACTATTTTGTACCCTCTTTCTTGATAATATGGTAACTAGTTTTCTCCATGAAGGTAGAAGAAATGGAGCTAAGTGGACCAGGAAGCCACTCAGGCTCTGAAGTAGACATGCCAGGACTTAGCATCTTAACTGTGAAGAAATGCTGAAAAGAACACTGTTGCCCTTCCACCTATCCCTTTGTCTCTCCCTGCTACCTGTTGGATTCTGGGTCTTTTTTTGATACTAAAACCAGTCTACTTCCCCACCTGAAGCTACACCCACTTCTGGGACTGGGGCAGCTACAAGAGTTAGGCTCACCTTCCTGCCAGCTCAGGGCCAGGGTCTTATTTGAAGAGACTATTGGGCAGTTAGCTTTATGCAGAACTCTGCCTTTCCCCTCAGCCCACAGTTGTCTGAGCTTCCCTAGCTGGCTGGGCTCCAGAGAGGTGGCACCCTCTCCTTCCAGACATTGACCCTTAAGTTAAGAATCCTATCTGCCGGCTAGGCACCTGTGGCTCAAGTGGCTAAGGCGCCAGCCACATACACCTGAGGTGGCGGGTTTGAATCCAGCCTGGGCCCGCCAAACAATGACACAACCAAAAAATAGCCGGGTGTTGTGGTGGGCACCTGTAGTCCCAGCTACTTGGGAGGCAGAGGCAGGAGACTGGCTTAAGCCGAGGAGTTGGAGGTTGCTGTGAGCTGTGATGTCACGGCACTCTACTTAGGGTGACAGCTTGAGGCTCTGTCTTAAAAAAAAAAAAAAAGAATCCTATCTGTTCCCTCATTTGGCCTTATTCAGGTGCTTCCTACATGGAAACCAGAGTGATTGCTAATGGTTTACTAATTTCCTTCTTTGCAATTTTTAAAATATCCCTAGTAGTAATCACACTTCCCCTGGGGGGGGTGCCCCTTTGTATGTTGAAGGCCATGTATGTTTGCTGATGGTGTTCCTTTATCTGCAGCTGCCCTATTCCTCCTCCACCTGCTGAAAGCTGGTTTAGCTTTCAAAGTTCACCAGGTGATGCCCGGTTCAGAGCCTTTCCTGGTCAGGTCCTAGTTTTCTAGTTGGGTCTGATTGCCCTGCCTTCCCTGCCTGCTGGTAGCAAAGTTCTGGCTGCCGGGCAGTATGTTGTGTACCATTTCCTATCTGCTGTTTCCAGCTGGCTTGTATACTTCTGCAGAAAGGCTGTTTATCCTCTCAGTTTACCACAGAGGGAATGATCAGAAACCATTCCTGAAATTGTTTTTAAATTCTCTTAATAACAGATGGTTTGTGCTTGTCTGAATCAGAAACAGTAAACAAAGAACGAGCGAATAGTTATAAAAATCCCCGTACACAGGACCTCACTGCCAAACTTCGAAAAGCTGTGGAGAAGGGAGAAGAAGACACCTTCTCTGATCTTGTGTGGAGTAATCCCCGGTATCTGATTGGTTCAGGAGACAACCCAACTGTTGTACAGGTAAGCCTGCTGTCAGCATTGTCAGTGCCATGGCAATCACAATACTTGTGATAAAATTTGACTATATTTAACAAACATGAGGCTCTTTTCTTTCAGGAAGGATGTAGGTACAACGTCATGCATGTTGCTGCCAAGGAGAATCAGGCTTCTATTTGCCAGATGACTTTAGAAATCCTGGAAAATCCTGATTTCATGCGGCTGATGTACCCTGATGATAATATGGACATGCTGCAGGAGCGAATCTCCTATATTGTTGACCTTTACCTCAACACCCCTGACAAGGCAGTACGTGTCCCCATCTCACCTGCTCCTTTTTTGATAGAAGTTGTAGCCAGTTTTCTAACTGAATGGTTTGTGTTTCCAGTAGAGTGAGAGTGTCTTATGCTCTGTCAGTGTGTGAGGCGTGTGGAAGGTGGGAGAAGAGAAGTACCTTCCTTGAATTCAAGAGCTCAGGGAGACAGGACAGGGAAGGGCAGGGGCACTCTGGGTGGGCCTGGGTCTTCCAGGCAGCTTCTCTCTTGGGTTTTATTAAGAGAGGAACATGGGTAAATGCCAAAAAGCATAGAAAAGACAGTAAAACAAGTTTAAGTGTCTTTTATTATGGTATTTGATGTATATCTTTTATATATATTTTTCACTTCAGGAATATTTCCTGTGGAGTTATGACACAGAGTCTCACTTTGTTGCCCTCTATAGAGTGTCATGGTGTCATAGCTCACAGTAACCTCAAACTCTTGGGCTCAAGTGGTTCTCTTGCCTCAGCCTCCCTAGTACTGCTGGGACTACAGGTGCCTGCCACAACACTGGCTATTTTTTGTTTGTTTGTTTGTTTTTCGTTTTTTGTTTAGCAGGCCTGGGCCGGGTTTGAACCCACCAGCTGCAGTGCATGTAGCCAGTGCCCTAACTCCTGAGCATAGGTGCCCCCAGGCATGATTTTTTTTTTTTTGTAGTTGTTTTATAGATGAAATCTGACTCAGTGTCCCTGGCTAGAGTGCTACAGCATCAGCCTAGCTCACAGCAACCTCAAACTCCTAGGTTCAAACAGTCCTCCTACCTCCCAAGTAGTGGGGAATACAGACATGTGCCATCATGCCCAGCCAGTTTACTATCTTTAGCAGAGACAGGGTCAAACTCTTGCTTAGGCTGGCCTCAAACTCCTGAGTTCAAGCAGTCCTCCCACCTGGGCTTCCCAAAGTGCTAGGATTACAGGCATGAGCTACCACGCCCAGCTCAAAGGCATGATTTTTAATGGTTAATTTATTTGTAAGTAAGAATTATAAAAACAGAAAGATTGATGTATTTACATAAGGAAAAATTCAATGATAGCTTGGATTGTAAACTCTTAACAAAACTTAAGACTTAAGAATTTAGAAAGTTGTGGTAAGAGAGTAAAAGAAGCATGTCATGGTGCAGCACAATTTTATTATTTGATAACATAAAAAATATGATACATTGAACTGCAGAATTGAAAAGCAAGAATAATTTTTTTTTTTTTTTTTGAGACAG